GAGTTGAGATCTTTAATGGCCATGATGAATTTATATGACGATGTCACTCTGTTAGCAGAATTGCAAGTTAAGCCGACCTTGGTTGATGAGATCAAAGCTAAGCAGCCCCTTGATAGCTCATTGTTTTCCATCTTTGAACAAGTAGAGCAAGGGACAAGTTCATATTACGCCCTTGATCAGGATGAAGTTTTATGCTTCAAAGGTCGGTATTGTGTGCCTGATGATGCTGAGTTGAGGCAGACTATCCTTACTGAGGCTCATAGTAGTCCATATGCTATACACCCCGGTGGAGATAAGATGTATCGGAATTTGTGAGAGAGGTATCATTGGGTCGGCATGAAGAAGGACATCTCGAATTTTATGGCGAGGTGTTTGACTTGTCAGCAAGTTAAAGCAGAACATCAACATCCATCAGGTTTGTTACAACCTATCAAAATTCTGGAATGGAAATGGGAGCGTATTACTATGGATTTTGTTACTGGTTTACCTATGACTCATTCGAAAAAAGATTCAGTTTGGGTGATTGTTGACAGACTTACAAAGTCAGCTCACTTTATTCCTGTGCGGGTAAATTATTCTTTGGACAAGCTGGCGAGATTGTATATTTCAGAGATTGTCTGATTACATGGTGTTCCAGTGTCTATTATTTTTGATCGAGATCCGAGATTTACTTCGAGATTTTGGAAGGCGCTACATACGGCTTTGGGAACAAGATTGGATTATAGTACATCATTTCATCCACAAACTGATGGTCAATATGAGAGAGTGATTCAGATACTGGAGGATATGTTGTGGGGTTGCGTAATCGATTTTCATGGTAGCTGAGAGAACTTTTTGCCTTTGGCTGAATTTGCTTACAATAACAATTATCAGACCAACATTCGTATGGCACCCTATGAAGCACACTATGGGCGTAGGTGTCGCACCCCGATTTTTTTGGACTGAGTTGCGTGATAGGAAGACTTTGGGACCTGAGTTAGTGCGGGAGACAGAGGACACAGTCAGAATGATCCATGACCGTCTGAAAGAGGCATTTGATAGGCAGAAATCTTATGCAGATCAAAGGAGGAAGGACATACAGTTTGACGTTCAAGATCAGGTTTTTCTCAAGGTATCTCCATGGAAGAAAGTATTGAGATTTGGACGTAAGGGTAAACTGAGTCCGCGATTTATTGGGCCGTATCGTATTCTGAAGAAAGTTGGACCTGTTGCTTATCAGCTTGAGTTGCCTTCCCATCTTAGTCGTATTCATGATGTTTTTCATGTGTCTATGTTGAGGCGATACCGTCCAGATCCAGGTCACATCATTCAGGTTGAAGAGGTAGAGCTGAGACCTGATTTATCCTATGAGGAAGAGCCCATTCAGATCTTAGAAAGAGATGAGCGAGTTCTTTGGAATAGGCGTATCCCAATGGTCAAAGTTCAATGGAGTAATCGAGGCCCCTAAGAAGCTACTTGGGAGACATTGGAGTCAATGGAGGCTCAGTTTCCTCAGTTATTCTCATAAGGTAAATTTCGATGACGAAATTTCTTGTAGAGGGGAAGAATTATAACAACCCGAAAAAAAACAATTTAAATCGGTGTAATTTGGTGAAATTTGGGGATTAAATTAAAAGTTTTCAAAACTTGTAGGCAATATTAGAAGTGAAGGAAATTCAGGGACCAAGCTATGAATTACTCCTTTTAGTATCGGCAGGAAATTTGATATATACGTATGTATGGTTTTCTGTTTTCAAAACAGAAAACAATTGTGAAATTCCTCCTTCCGCACTCTACTTCAAAGTCTGATTCCAACGCCCCGTCCGACCTCCGGCCGTCAAATTGAAACCACCATCCTGTTCATCTTCGACCTGTGAACAAAACCCAATAAATCAATTATAGCAAAACGCTGCCAAACGATGTGAATTTTGAGTCAAAGTCTTGACGTTTTTTTAGCACTACCGCCGAGAAAATCTTAAATTCATCTCCGATCGTTGATCGGTTTTCGACACCTCCCGCACCATCGTGTTCCTTGTGCCGTTTTGAGTCCGCCGGTGTCAACCTTGGTCTCCGTCGACGGCGGCGCGTGAGGAGGTGGAGCAGTTAAATATTCGGCCGAGTTGAAATCGAGCTCTCCGCCGTTCAAAAATTTGAACCGATCTTAGTAAGTATCTCGAAATCGCTCAAAATAATTTTTAGAAAATTTTCTGTAATTTTTATACCCCCGGAAGAAGCCTCACGCGCCGCCGCAGGGAGAGTGAGTGGCTGAAAACCGGTTTGACCGATTTTGAACCGGTTTGACCGGTCTGACCCGACCCGACCCGGCCGACCGACCCGACCCGACTGACCGTTGACTTCCTTTGACCAAAACTTAAAATGGCTTTGACCGACCATTAAACGATCGTTAATCTTTTTTCGAGTATACTTATTCTGATAGTTTTCGACGTCCCAAATCCGTTTTCGAAGTCCGTTTGGTCAAATTCAAACCCGAAGGCCTCCAAATCGATGGTCAAAGTGGTTGACTTTGACTTTGACCAAGAATTTAAATTTTCGAAAAGACATACTTGATGTTTTTCGACGTCCTGATTCCGATTCCGTAATCCGTTTGGCCAAATTCAAACCTGAAATCTTCCAAATTGATAGTCAAACCCTGAAAATGCTTATATAAAGAATTTTAGTTTTGAACAATTAAGTAAGATTTAGAGCTGATAAATTATTATTGTTTGAAGGTACAAGAGACTCTCCGGATCGTTCGACAGCTCGACCCAGCTCTTCTAGATCAATTAAACCACGTGTGTCAGTATTCACCCGTAAGACCCGTAAATTTTATGATTTTAGAGATTTATTTATGTTACCCATAAGTAATATAGTGTTATTATAAAATAGGTTCGAAAACTTTAGCAGAGCGTGGTGAAACCAGCAATCAGTAGATATACTATTTGAACCTATTATCGAGGTGTGTTCCCTAATTATTACTGAACTGTTTTATTGGTTTTAATATGAGATACACTGAGTTCCTTGGTTACTGTTTTATTGATGCACCAATTTAATGTGATGATTTATGGAATTTGTGTCACGGTGCAATTGAACTTTTGGATTGAATTACAATAGTATAGCTCTGATCAAGCTAATAAACAGAATGGGCCTAATGTGACTCTTGGGGCTCCAAGATACATTAGGTTGGCTTCCCTTGCTGTGTGCTTAGGGTAAGCTATATGGACTTGGACTTACGGGCCTAAGGATACAAGCTCTAAAGCTTATCCTTAGGTTGGCTTTCTTTTTGCTGTGTGCTTAAAGTAAGCTATATGGAAAATAGTTTTGGGAACTATTGATGGTGTACAAGAAAAGGGTTTAAACTATGATTTTCAAAAGTTAAACTCTTTTATGAATTTATGAGATTTACTGGACTATGATTTGTTTAATGTACCTATGGTGATTTTAAGGTAATATTGGGACACACTGAGCCTAGCTCACCTTTCGAAAATATTTTTTCCCCTTTCAGATACTGTTGGTTAGATATCTCGGTTCGAGCACTTGGAGGATCAACATATCTCTTGAAGTATATCTGATTGTAATGTTTTATCTTGCAAGTTGACTTTATTTTGGTGACATGGACCTTATTTTAAAGTATATCTCTTGAAGACCTATTTTAAATTAATTTATTACTTATTGGTATTATATTTACAAGTTGGGTTTTGATAGTATAATTTATTTCATGATATTTATAATGTGATTTTACATTGATTGAATATCGGTTTCAGAAAATGTCTTTAAGAATCATGTATATGATCCACTAGACTTAGTCGTAACGCATAGGCCGGGTCTAGGGGGTTACATATAATCACAACAATGGATTTAGCCGACCTGATTGCGATTATAACCCTTGGTGTTACCATCAATATAGTGAAGAGGGAGATGGATAATCTCACAGCAATTATGGAGAGGAACAGAGAACTACCACCGGCAGCTACCACATCGACTAAACCGTACTTTGTGATGGCATCTTCGGGTACTTCCCTTGTCTGCTTTTTTTTTTTTTGGGTGGGGGGGGGGGAGGAATGAATACAACAATACGCAGTGAAGGTGAAAACCATCCAGGTAGTTCCTATCAAGATGTATCCAAAATTGCCACAATTTATATAAGCAAAATAATGTTAAAACATTATAACAGCTACTGATAAATAGTGATTCCATTGATGTGCTAATTAAAAGCAAAGGGTTTTGTTGTTCTTCATTACAAGACTTGGAACCTAGATACTATTGAACTAACAGAGAGACCAAGAGGGCCACAAAGCTCAACTATACACATATATATAGCCAACTTAGTATCACAGATATGTATCAAAATTTGCACAAAGAAGTGCTGATTTTCTTTCTCTCTTTTCCCTCCCAGAAGAAGCAAAATTTTATGTAAGGTGAACTTACTGTACAGGAGGTAACAAAGTTTTTTTTTTATCATATTACAGTACCGAGGCCTAGTTCATCCTCGATATCATCTCCTTCTTCGAATAGCTTTAAGAACCGAGCTTGTTCTTGTTGCCTCTTCTTCTTTTGCCAATGTTTGTGTGCCACCACAAGTGCAATTATCGTTACAGTTAAAACCAGTAGGGTAATCAGGATAATTATAAAGACACGCATTGCCTTCCCATCATCATCGTCGTCGTCTTGGTCATTAATATTTTGAGGGGTTGCATTGGAAGCTACAAAACAAACAATGAATACCAATTTGTCAACTACAAAGAAAACGACTTGTGCATCTGGATTTAAACAGCAATATTAGCAACGCAAGTGTGCAGTCAAGTAAACATGGTATGAGCGAGGTACAAGAATCAACATGTTGAAACCGTGCCCGGGATTACCGGAGCATAAAGTCGGAAAGATTCCACGGAAAAATAAAAATCTTACCGCCGGGAAGAGTTGCACATTCTTGACAGTGGAACGTAGCATTAAGTTGGTGTTTTTTAAACAAAATGTATTTCCCAAGTGGAGCTTTGAAATCAGAAGCACAAAACTCCCACTCCTCATATATAATCTAGTTTGATGACATAATTCTCGTAGAAACCACATCGCTTGCATTTCTTGGCATCCAATTCTGTAACTGGCTGAAATCACAAAGCTTACAATTTCATTACGCACTCTTTGCAATGAAGAAACAGATCTCGTAAATGAAGTTTTAATATAAATTATCTACTAACAAGTAATACGCGATCAAGAGAATTGAAAATCTATATAAGAACCTGCCAGGATTCTTGACCCCTGAAAGAATAAATGACGCTGGGTTTTTTTACATCGGGTAACAGCGTTTTGTTCTCTCCTTTACAAGCGAAATAGACGGCCGGTTTTGAAATCCAATCGTGCGTGCGGAATATTTCAATTGAATCCAATGTAACCACAAACGATGAAATTAATCCTAAAAGAAACAAACAAAATCAATAAGGGAAAAGGGATAGATTCTTCATTTCGAACTTTCATCTCAAAAACGAGAATTTCATCTACAAAGTTAATCCTAATACCTAAACGCCAAATGCCTGCCAGATAACCAGTACACAATTTCAGTTTGTTTTCTCGGAAAGTTATATTACCTGGAAAACAACCAAACAGGATCCACCAAACGAGAAAATGGAAGGAAATTCTCGAATTTAAAGGATGACGATTCGACATAACGAGATAAAACAATTCAATTCCTCGATAAAAAAAAAACAAACCAAAAAATTCACAGAAAATTAGCGAGACTTCGTTCCTCTAACCCTATTTTATTTATTTACTATTCGGTTAAATGAAGAAATTAAGACAAAAAAGTTATGAGAAATGGCGGTTTTGGAAGTTATTGTCTTTTTTTGCGTGGAGAGAGAGAGAGAGAACCAAAAACTACAGCAACAAAGATTCGTTGCTGACCGGTTCGCGCTGCGGGTAATTGGACGAGGGCAATGCACACGTGGCGCTTTACAAGTGGCTGTTAATTGACCAATTATGATCATTTGGTCAATGTATTATTACACTAGGAATACACGATGGAACGGACCAGATTGTAGATACACATTTCTATCTGTCTAAAAGTCTGTATAAATGGTGAATGTCAGTTTATAAATGTTTTTGGGTCTAATGATAAAAATAAGTGTTTACGTTTTTATTTTGTTTTTGAAAAATATTTTTCCTGTTTTATGACCCAAAATGAATGCCTATGATTATATGTAAATGTATGCCTGCTTGTGTCATGTCTTGAGGGTGAAAGTGATTAATGTTAATTTTTTCATGTAATTGTAATACTCTTAACACGAGTTAGGAGGAAACCAAATTAGGGATGTCATGATAATCTATCAAAACTTATTAAAATTGAACTATAATTAAATTGTCATCTCGAATCCGACCCGACCTCGCCCTTTAAAAAATATGATATAATCTGAATCTGATTTTTTTAAAAAATTCGATCCTATCGAATCGGGTCGAGTCTAAACCCGTCGGATTAAGGTTAAATAACCACTCCTATTTGTATGGCACTTTGATTATCACAATGAAGAGTAGTGGAACCATTTGAATCAACACCCATGTCTTCTAATAACCATTAAAATTCAAAGAAGCTCATTAGTTGTGTCTACAAGTGCACTATACTCCGTTTCCGTACTAGAACGAGAAAATAGCGATTGCTTTTTGCTTCGTCAAGAGATCAAATAATCACATATCGATAGGATCACCAGCCCTATCTGCATTTGAATAAGCTCGCAAATGCAAGGAAGAGTAGGGATGCTGTAAAACTGACTGAAATCGATTTGAGTCAAAATTGTTTGTGACTCGAGGTGATGGTGATCTAAAACTGATTCGAGTCAGAATTGGTATTGACCTGAAACCGAGTTGGACCTGAAAATTTACGACATGCACCCAACCTAAGAATGACATGAACTTGAATTGAACCCGATAATGTGATAACCGAACCCGACCTGCATCTGACCTGATAAGAACCCGAACCAAAGATTAACCTCTAAATAATTGTTATTACCCAAACTATTTTCAACCTGACATGTTATAAATTTGATTTGTAATTGACTAAACATGTAAATGATCCGACCTATTATTAAATTGAACTGATATTTACTTAACTTGTATTTACCTATAATTTATAATTGATGAAATTAAAAATTATTAATTTCTAATATTATAATGTGACATAATAGACCTTCACAATTTAGAGTGTATGATTAACTATGATACTTTTTTTTGAAAGGTGATTAACTATGATAATTAAATCAATGTATTTACTTTTTTATGTTTATAAATGGTAGCTTATAAATATATTCAAAATATTTATTAAATGAATGGCTTGGAATCGATAAATTAATAATAAATGTAAAATAAATTAGTAATTATGATAAAAATATTACTAAATTAACTTTTTATATTTATTATGATCATAATATTAAAAATTTAATTATAACTATCAAATTAATTTCATTAAATGATTCATGAATCATTTTTCAGCTTTTAATTAATAACTTAAATATAATATAACTTAAATATTAAACATGATTCTTATAATAATATTATGATTTGAAATTAAAGATTTAATAACTTTATAAATATTGAAACAAACAAAATGTTCAAATTAAATTTATTATAACTAAATACACTACAATACAATTAAATGAAGTAAATAAATTTATGTTAAAATTCAAGCTCCTCGAATCTTATAGCATAAGTTTTACAAAGCTGAAAGCTTGATTTTGGTACCATAAATTTCTTTCATCGAGCTTTTAATTATTTCAAATGATCTAAATGTTGCCAACATGATTGAATTATGGGTAACTTTTCAGCTTTAAAATAAAAAATGTCACAAACATAATTTAATCATTGGTAACTAACTAGATAAGAATTTACAACAGTTCTATTCAATGAGACCAATAGCAACAATTTACAAGGCAATAAACAACCGATAAGCATCAATTCATCATTTAGACCTAGTCTAATGAGTTTTCAGACGAATTTCAGTTAGCATTCAGGCTAGTCCAGCCAACATTCATACCAATCCAAGCAATGGTAAAGCCAATGGGAATACGATGGTCAATAGTGCCAAACATTTTCGACTTTACCACACCTTTAGACTACAATTATTTCATTAATATGCTTGTTGTATGACACCCTACAAAAGTAAAAAAGAATTATTCATAAAACATTTTAAATATGAATAAAAATTATTAAATAAACACAATAAAAAAGTTACCATAAGAGGGAAGAATGAAGAATAACTTATTCACAAACCCATTCAAATGTGCTTGTTGTAAGTATAAAAGCACCCTACAAAAATGAAACTACAATCATTAATAAACAATTTAAATGAAATAAACATAATAAAAATAAAACAAATCAAATATTTACCTTTAAAGTTAAGGATCATTAACCACAGTAAGATATTCTTCATCCATTTTTTCCGGTTCAAAACCATACAACTAATTTTGAGTTGTTACAAAAATCTCAACATTTTTATGTAAGAGTTTTGCTTTCAACTTGCTCAAAATTCGACCACCCATGCTAAAAGAAGATTCAGAAGTAACTGAAGTAATTAGATTTGCCAATATACCTCTCGTTATGCGAGTGAGTGCCTTATAAGAAACACTTTGTGATTTTTAATACTCCAAAATGTTAAACTCAACTTCTTCATTACGGGGAACAAGGGGAAAATTAATGTAGGCATCAACATCCGATTTTCCAGTATTTGAAGCAGCTAAATTAGCATCAAAATTTAGAAAAGATAAATAAAAAATAATTAGAATTATGAAAACAGAATAATTAAATTAAAATAATTAAACTTATGAAAGTTGACCAGAAGTAGATTAGATTTTTTAAATGGTCGATGTCGACTGGAAGAACTCGACCCACTTGTCTCTAGTGTAACACCTCAATCTTTAGTTAATTATAACATTCACGTGATTTGTTCAGAATTAAGTTGAATGTGGACAAATTGTTAGGTAAGATGAGAATTTTATTATTTTTATATTATTATTTTATTTAGATTTCCAAAAACCATACAATTGAGATATTTTGAAAGTCTCTATTTTATATTGTGTATATACGTAATGGAGGAAATCATTTGGGAGGAAAAAAATAAAAATCCAAACTTATCCTTATCTTCACCCGTTCCCATGCTTCGTTGTTCTATACGAGCTCTGTTGAACCATGGAAAGTTCTCAACCAGTCTAGGTCTAAGCTCCGGCATCATGCTGCAGCTGTGTAAGTTCCGATTGGCTTAGAAGAAAACTTTAAGGGCATTGTCGACCTTGTTCAGAAAAAAAAAAACTTACTATTTTCAAGGTTCCATTGGAGAAAATATTGTTGGTGAAAAAAGTATCGGAAGAAGAAGCGGTAAGCGCCGATTAAGTTCACTTTCAACTATTCGCTAGTCGATGTTGCTCTTCGGATCTTACTATTTACAGCATCTTTAAGTTCTGTGGTGGTCATAGTTACCAGCAAGCAAACCGAGGGGTTGAGACTACAGAGGAAGAAGATGGAGCAGCTAACGATGGCTCTACTATGGTTACTACTACTGCCCCGTTAAAACCAAGAAAGAAAAGAGACAGTTTTCCTTTTTAAGAGAGACATAATGAGATCCAAGAGATTCTTGGAAATTCAAAAATTAAGGGAAAACAAAAAGGAATATCATATGAAGACAGGGAAAATGGGGTTATGATTCCAACATGAAAAATCACGTGGGTGTTGAATAAAGGGGTAAACCACAAGGTATGTCATCCAAGTTTGGTGAGATCTTTACTTTGTCTCTTAATTTTCAAGTGGTTATAGTTATGACATAATAGTTTTTACAAGATCAATTTAGTCCATGATGTTAGTAATTAAATATTACTAGCTCTTGAAGTTTTTAGTTATGCAAATTGGGTTTCCAAATTATTAATTAGATTCTAATAAGTTATTTTTTTATGGAAAGGAAAATTATTGGAAGTCGTATTTGTACGATAAATTATCCGTGTTTGTTAGAAAAAGATTGGAAGCTAGAAATCAAGTTGGTGAACTAGAATTTAAGACTAATATTTTGGGTTTTGTTGATGTTCCGATTTTGAGTTTCGTTTCGCCAAATTCAAATCCGGTAAGTTATTTTTCATTGATTAATCACCCAATTCGATTCATTTTTCGGAATTAAGTTCTATTTTTGATAAAATTTCTGTTAATATGTATCTGAGGAATTATTGGAAGTCGATTTCAAGATCGAGGGCATTCAAATTTAATTTAAATGGTCGAGCAATATGGCGTGAAAATCGAGGTAATACATTACTACCTCTTTATGCTTTATGGAACATGTTGATAATGGATAAATGCATGGATATATATAATTGGTCTATTATGCATGTTAGATTATTGATGGATTCAATCCGAATACGGTAAAAATTTGATAACTGAATATGACTCAGATGACTATTATAAGAAATTGGAATACAGTTGGAATTAAATTACTAGTTATGGAATTAAGTGATAAAGGAATCAACCATGGATATGTAGATTATAATTTATCTCATTAAAAGTACTTGGATGATAAATTATGAGAATATTTCGATTTGGTAAAATTACAAAAATACCCCTATGTTATGAAATGACAAGTATTGTCCCTGGAAGTTGATTAATAACTCTGAAAAGACTTATTGATCTGATAAAACTACATATGTACATAAGAAAAGTTAGTTTTAATTAGAAAATTCGGATAATTGGTT